GATCATGCCCTACCAGGCCTCCTACACCCTCCTCACCACCAATTTGGATCACTTGTTGTTCCCTTGTCCCTGGGTTTGTTAACACCACTACCTTTCCCCTCATCTCCCCTTTTCCCATGTCCCCCCAGAACTGTCGGTCCCATTGTTTTCTCCTCCAGATTGTTCATCTAGCCTATCTTATTTAGACAGACCTGCGGAGAAAATAACATGCACAAAAACAAGACAGAGCAAAACTGAGCAACAATATAAAACACAGCAACAAACCAATGACAAAACAAAACAAAACACAAGAAAGAAAAGGTTGTAGTTAGTTCAAGGATTGCTTGTTGGTCTTTAGGAGTGTTTTCCAGTCCAGTCTGTTGGAGCAACACACCCTAGAGCCAAAGTCCACCTTCAGCATTCCCTAGGGGCCTCGCCGCTCCGTTCCCTTGCTGTTCTGTTGCACACCCTTAGTGTTTTGCCTCTGTGTGGTGGGATCAGATCGGGTGCAATTCCCACACTTTGTCTCCGGTGCTGTTCCCTGTAGGGCCATGGGTCAGTGATGCGTCATGTCTTATAGTGGGGCTGGCCATGTGGTCTTCTCAGTGAACTGGCTGCTCTAATCAGGAACATCATCCTCAAGGCCTGGTGGGCCAGGATGTGCTCCACTCTCTCCTCCTCCCCCTTCATCTGTTCCTGTGTGCTCCAATCAGATATGTCTCTCTCCCAGAGCTTCAGATCCAATGTCCTCCTTTGTAAAAGACCTGCAGGAAGAGCTTGCCGGGACCTGTCCCTCCTAGTATGTTTCCAGCTAACCGATATTGAGGGACACCTAATAACACTTGCAGTCTGAACGTTTTCTTTAACAAAATGAACAGTAGTGCAGCTGGCCCTTTAAACCCACCTCTGTCTATGGAAACGCCACCCACCTGTCAATGCCCAGAAAAAACGTCACCTCCTCCAAGAAGCCCTCCCTGACCCCCACAGATGGGTATGATTCCTTCTTCTGGAACCCCCACAAGATGCGGCTCACAGCTGTCTTAGAGAACACCTCACAGGTAGCCTTGGGAAGTTTGGTGTGAATACAATATTCACAAGGGAGGTGGTCACCTTCAATATGCAGTCTGATCAAAAGCCAGCAGAAAGCTTGACTCAGTTACACCAGAATGTTTTCATGCCAATGAATTGAGAGGAGAAAGGCTGAAAGGAAGGTGTCAGAGCTAGAAGTCAGATAGTCTGGAAGGTGCTAAACAACCAGGAGTGGTTTCCCCTTTAGCCCAGGAAAGAGAAAAATGGGGTGTATGGAGAAAGGACACTGATCATTTAAGTGTCCACAAATCTTGGAAATGCTTCCATCTAGTAAAGAGAGTAAGTTCCCACGTTACAGGAAGACAGATAGCATATCACTATAAGGACAATTTTTATAAAAGTTAGAACTTCCCAGCAATAGAATGAAGTTTCCTATAGGTAATGAGCTCCCCATCACCGGACCTAATCAAGTAGTGTTCCAAGAATCCCTTTACATGGAGGTGATGGATACACCAATGAGCAGTTAGACTAGATCAGCGGTTCTCAACCCGTGGGTCACAACCCCTTTGGGGGTCGAA